AAAAGGCCAAAGTAAATAACCCAGTCCTTCTTTTCACTGTAGACAAGCCATGATCTGCTTATCTGTTCTCCATTTTTTATTTAATTTCTTTCAAGGAAAAATAAACACATAGAAAAAACAAGCTACTTTTAAACTCCTGATTTTCCAGCAGGTTTGAAAAAAGGTCAAACACTAAAAAACACTTTTTAACCTGCTAAAGTCAGATTCCTGAGTGTTGACCGCTTTACGATTATTTTAAAAACTGAAATTGTTTAACAGGGTTTTCTACAAGACTTCAAATGCAACGTTTCTCATAAAAAAAGTTTATTTTTACAATCCTAAAGGTTAAATTTAAACATGTATTGCAGTCATAGCTCTGTATTATAAGATCTGAAGCTACAACATACAACACAAAACACATTCATGGGAATTTACTGAAACAATCCACTCTGAAAGACTCTTTACTAACTTATGCTGAAATATTTGATGAAACATAAGAGCTCCAAACCTTCATGAACCATTTTAAAAATAGATCGGTTCTTATTGCGGTTTACATATAAACTCCTTCAGTCATTTCTTTTTCTCTTTAACTTTTCTTGTAATCAGTGCCTCTGTATCAATGTTTCACAGGCCGTTGTGTCTTTCTGAGGGCGTTTGGTGCGTCTATTATTTTCAAACTTTAGAACGTTTTGAGAAGAATTTTTTTTCTCTGTTAAACCTGCTGAACTTTGACCTTTTAATCATTCAGTAACAGAAGGGCTGAAAGATTAATGGGCTCGTCTTCATCATGGATTCCCCCTTTTTTTCTTTAAATTAATCTATTAAAAACAGAAAATGTTACAAAGTTCGATGCAGAGTCTGAGTTTTTAGAAGAAATGCTAAACAGCCTGTGCTCATTTATCACTCTATCAGTCAGCCATACGCTGATGGTGGTCAGCTAGGAGAAAATGACAAACAAAAGGTCCCTTAAAGATCTTTGGACAGTCAGAAGACTGTTTAAAATAACAACTTTTTGTTTATAGGGCTGAAAAACTAAAACCTTTAATGTTAAATATATGGAAACTAATTTTAAATTAATATTTACCAAACAAGGTGGTTTCATTTTTACCATTACTAAGGAGATTTTCAGTTCTCATGGCTTTAAGCTGTAGGTTATTTCTGCTAACTTTCATGCTTTTGTTGCTGTGAGGGAAAATCATCTTATTCTGAAATTCAGATTTTCAATCATAGAGGGAAGTTTTTCCACAATGAAGTTCCAAGTTTTCGTTCTTTTTTCATGATTATTAAAGCCACACAGAAAGATGCTTTTGGTTTTATTTTGAAAGGATTAAAATAGTAAAATTTTTTGGAACCCTAAAGACTACTTACACTGAACCATTTGTTTCTTTTCAGAAACCAAAAACATAAAAATTAGTCCAATATTCAGTGAGTTAATGTCGATTAAAATGGATTCTGTT